CCTTAGCCAAGGCACAGGGCCACCAAGACCAAGTCAAGATTAGTGAGAGCTCACTACTCTCATATAGTTTAATGAAATGCAAGGTGAAACCTACCACCAAGCACAACGCTACAAAAGAAAGGCACAAAGGTCACCTTTCTTAGAAAAGTGTAACGGCCACTTTTCTACATCAACTCTAGACTCTATCCAACTCAATTGTTTTAGCCCCAAAAGTCAACATCCCTTTCGGGCCGCATTATATAAACTACCTACCAGGGTCTAAGCTAACTAAAGTCAACTCCAACCCTTTCACTAGTTTGTACTAGCTTACGAAAATGGAATGGTTTTCGGCAAAGTGACCAACAGATCAGCCATTGGAGAAGTCTAAGAAAATTTGTGGAAAATTTCCATCCTAGAGAAAGAATGACTCTTAGTCTAGGAATGCAAACTTTCAAGACTCAACCAACTTCCTCCTACTAACAACTTCACATAAATTCACCTCAACACAAATTTTCATGACCTATAATATGCTTAAGCATCGAACATCTTTGCCCATCTAACCGATATCCAACATTGACATCCACAAAGTGCAAAATGAACATCCAAGGCTTGATCATGAAGACCACATCTTCGGATATCCACATTGCACTAACACTCTTCTTCAATCACCTTCAAGATCCAATGTGAAGCCAAAACACTAATAAGAAAAATGACATAAAAAATCAAGGTCCAAGGAAAATTCCTAATCACTCAAAATAACAATGCCACTTCCACTAACACAAGTGCTAGTGATGTCAATGCCCTAACTACACACCTTCTCCATCCAATAATCTACTCCAAGTGCTAATGGATCAACCGATGAACTATAACAAATGAATGCTATAACCCTTTTCCAACACCTTAGTGGGCAAACTTAAGGAAGCAAGGTACCAACTTAAGCTTAGCATAATGGACCATCATTAAGAATCCAGTCAAAGCTACTACAATGCTACTTCATGCAAGTAGACTAGCTTCTCCATCAACCACTTTGGGGTTGATCATCATTTACCCAAGCAACTTCGTAAACACATTGCTCATTATCACATGGATATGATATAAATCACAATGACTTGATCATCAATCAAGCAACACTATGAGCAATGCCCATATCACTACTGCAAAGGTTTATGTGAATATCAAGTGCCAACTCGATTCGACAAAATGCAACATAAATGCTACACCCCATCAAATAGAGATCTACAACACCTAACACCACTAACTTTTGTTTACAACACGAACAAGCTCATGCCACTCTCTTTCCAACCAAACTCAACACTAATTCAACACCAAGCTACTCAAGGAGCAATAACAAGGTTCCCCAGAAAAGAATTAAGCATTGCAACCCAAGTCTTCCAATAGCAAGCTTAGACAAAATGATATAACACTTCACCGCTATCCATCCCACAACTTACCATTGTAAGACCACCATCTCCAATATGCATCAGGATATAGACTCTTGATTGCATGATGTGAACACAAGCAATGAGTTAACACTTCGTTGCAAATCATCTCTTCAAGAAGAGAAAATGATTTACGTATTTGATCCTCTGTCCTCAATGACTCTCTTTTCGGTCTCATCTTTGACCAAACCTCAAGCTTGCTTTCGCACTGCCTTCAGTTCAATCCAAGAAAAGTTTATGAGAGAGCACAGCCATGACTACTTAAACTAATAGACTAATCCCTATAGTCTTGATTGATCCACTTATAATCATACTTAGGAAGGATCCATTAGTGCCATGCTAAACAGCTACGGACCAGCCTATTTGCCACTCATAGCAAACCCAGGGAGGTTTGCTTTCACCCATGGTACAAGGAATAACTCATGGAACCACCGATAGGCTATCATTAATCCTGCCAACTCAAAGTGCAATCTTGAGTTGCTAATGTGCCTCATTCACGAGCCTAAACGTAAACTCATGCAACCGGAATAACTCAGTCCACCCTATGAGCCCAAGAGCAAGCTCACATAATATGGAACAAGAAGGTAACCAAATCCATACCCAAGGAACAATTGCGAAGTCTTTTGCACCCAAACGTATACCCACTCAGATCATCGTTTTCATCTCTGCGTATGCAACGAGACTAGTTGCCCAATTTCATTGGATAGTACTCGCCGAGACTTTTTCTCTAATACCAAATGTAGCGCACGTGGTTTTGACCCTTTGTCCTATGGTGATTTACCATAGGATAACACCACGAAGCGGAACCTAAACCCTCTTTGTACCACGTGACAGATGCCACATGTCACATGCCACATGTCCATGCCATGTGTCTATAGGAACCCGAGGTTCAGGGCCTTGGGCCACTGAACGAAGGAACAGTGCCAAACTCTTAAGCGTGGAGCCAAGGAGTGATGGAACCGGACCACAAAGCAACTCCCGAGCATACAGCCCAATGAGTGAAGGGACAAGGGCCTGAGGCGACTTGGAATAGTCCTGGAGCAACTAGCATCCCAATGCCAGGACCAGCACGCAAAACGGAGCCAAACGGAGTTTGGTGCTATTTCGGCATACCGGTGGCCTAACATGAGAGTATGGGTACTCCACCAGCTAGCATGGAATGGAACTTGGGCTTAGACCCAAGCCGGACGTAGAACAAGGACAGGCACGCAAGCGGGAGCTAGACTATGCCTCAGGTTGGTCAGCCATGCCCGACCTACCCACTATCCCTACTATACATTTGAAACCCCCCATAGCCCCCCCCCCCCCCCTTCCCTTGAGGAACACACGCTTTGGGCTTTCACCCCAAGCCTCCCTTAGTATCTGCAGTTAGTCTCTGGGACAAGCTCAAAACTTACTAAATGTGGAATGTCTCTAGATTGTGAATTTGGACACGGGACGAACACCATTGTGTTCAGGACGATCTCTACATTCCATAGATATGCCAAATGAGCAAATCTAGACACTTTCCATAAATAGCATCTGGGACGAATTGAGACTAACACAAAAGGCATGATAGCGAGGGTGTTTGGCAGACATGGTAAGCTATCATCTAGCAATGTTGAGGGACCAATCTCAATATTGCGGGGGTTCTTGATACTAGCAAGTGCAAGCCAATGACTCAAGTTTCTCAAACCAGGCCGAGTATGCTCAGCAAGAAACACATAGGGTTCCTACCTTATGTTTATCCAATCTAAGTGCATGGTCATTAACCAATTTCTCAACTAGCTCAAGTGGGAACTGATAACAGGTCCAGCAATACCGACTTCCTGCCATTGCGGCAGCAAGGTAAGAGTGTCCGTAAGGACTGGTCGACAGGTAACTTTCGATACCCAAAGTCACATTTGATGTTAAGAGATGAGGATATATAATATGAAAACATTTATCAGTAAATAAAAATTTAAGCTCTTAATGCAATGTTCATGTAGAAATTATATATATGCATAGCCTTAATAGGACTCAACAATGATTAAATTTTCTTGAAATGAAGTAAATAAATATACCAAATGTGTTGTTTAATCTGTATAAAGGACTGGATTACTATCTTATAGATACAAATTTGATGCACACATTGATAGATTCTAGTGCATATGGATAAAAAGAAGAACTATTATGCTATCAATGTGGTAATTATTATTAGTAGAATTAAATCTCTATAATACTTATTACCATTACTTTACATATCCAAAGACATTATAGAAAAAAATATTGATGCTTTTAATATTTTTTTTGAGCATATCATAGAGAAAGATAAGATGGAACTCCATATGAGGGTGAGAAAAGAATTCTCGCTGCTATAGGCATTTTTACACAATAAAATGTTGGAATATTTTATTCATGATTTTTTATATGTAATGTTGCTCTTTAACTACAATGCTATATAATGGTTTTTTCTTATCTCTCTTTTTGATTTGTCAATGTTATAATTTAAGCCACATGTTTTTTGTTACTAAAAAGAACCCACTAGTCTATAATTACATCATATAATAATAAAAATCCAACCATTATCTAAGAAAATCTGTTTATAGTGGATATATCTAAAATATGCTTTGATATTCTTGGATATTTTATCATCTAATATCGAACAGTTGTTATTTATCTATATTAATATTGTATTATAATTCATATACTTTCCTAAACACTACCATATTATCTTTACAAGTTATCAACATGTTTATAATTATAGATTTCTGATTGATCAATTGAATCAATAAATAATAATAAACAGGAAAACACTACTATTAAACAAATAAAATATTATTGCATGCAACACACAGAAAATTATTTATTATTTCCAGCCCATCTTATGAAATACAACAATGGTTTAGAGCCCTACTATTACTCTAAATTTAGATGCATAACCAACATGCTCCTCTAGTCATTTTTATCTTGGTTCATACAATAAATAAAAGACGGAAATATTCCTTTAATTTAAATTCCTATTATTATTGCATTAGCAAATGATTTTTGATTTTCTCCTCTAAAAATTTACTTGAATTTTGATTGATTATTATCTTTTATCTAAACGCTTTTTTCCTCTTTCCTTCTGAACTTTGATCCAGCTTTAACTAAAATTGGCTAATTCACTTCATGAATGGAGATCACGTATTCTAAGCAAATCAGAACTTTCAATATGCAAGAGCAAGTAGTAGATATGATTAATTGATTTCAACACTATTAACATAGCTTATAGCTAATACATACCAAGTCTTTGACACCATAAAATAAATTTGTATATGTTTAATTTTTGCTATTTTGCTCTATTTTGCCAAGAGAGATTGAGAGTATTCCTAGGAGATTATATTATGGTTCAGATTAAACCATAATTGATGTGAAGAAGATATTACCTTCAGGATTAGAGATCAGGAGACAATACAGAATACTTACTAGAGATATTACATCACTCCTCTGATCCAAAATACTCCTTTAGAAGAGTTGGTTTTAGTAGATTTTAATGTACATTTATCAAGCATTGCCGTGGCATTGGAAGAAGTATATTTCTCGCATCTTTGCAGACAAGGGATTAGGGTTTTGGGGCTAGGGTTTTACGGAGAAATGGGGGGAAGAAGCGACTGCGATTTCTGCGCCCTCTGTGGCACAATGCTCGTCTACGAGTCTGCTACAACCGCATCGTGTGCACTCTGTAAGGCGCAGCGCAACGCCGAAGGTATGATCCATCGATCGATCGCTCATTTTTTGCTCATAAATTCTCTCTTTGGTGTTCTTGTTTATATATATTCTACACAGTGGTCCAGGAGGAGGTGTGGTGTACAATCAACGCCGAGGTACAATGCTGTCTTTTGCAGTTTAAATGGAGGATGTGTATTTGCGGCATTTATTTCTGTGTAGGATTTGGCCCGGAGGCTTGGAATCGATCCTCTCGTTCTACCAGAACTTGATCTCAAAACCGTGGATCAAACTGACGAAGGCCCGAAGAAGGCTGTCGTAAGTTTTCTTGTCTTTCTTCTTCCGGAGAATCTTCTTTTCTCTTTTATAAATGTCGAACTACGCACTGTAGGTGAACGAGGATTGTCCGAAATGCAAAAATCCGCAGCTCGAGTACTACACGAGACAGGTATATAGATTGATAGTTTTTTTTTGTCTTTCGCTTTTTTTCTACACTGTTTATACACTTTTTCCACCCGCAGCTGCGCTCTGCTGATGAAGGCCAAACAGTGTTCTACGAGTGTCCCAAGTGCCGGCACAAGTTCTCGCAAAACACGTAACGTTCTCGCGTGTAAAACCCAAACGGAAAGAGAAGAAATCCGCAGAAAAGGTAACACTCTTTCTAAATCATTGCCACTAATCGCATAATCGTCCCCCTGTTGTGCGTGCTCACATTCCAAAAGCGAGCCCGTCCCTCCATCAATCACTTACAGGTGAACTGGACTGATGCCTTCGGTTAAGTTTTCCTTCCCAGCTGGTGGTGATTGCGAGTGATGCACAAACACATCCCACTCCGCTCTACGATCATTCCAGCTCCAGATTACACTCATTGGCGTTTGATACCAACCGATCGCTGTCACGGGATTTTATAGCGTGCCAGAGGAGGATGAGGAGAAACAAAAATATGTGCGTATATAGCGACAGTAAGAGCGAGCTTTTCTCTTTTCTCTCTCGCCGCTCTTTTATCCTTTGCTCACTCGTCGTTTGGCTCTTTAGGCGTGCTCTCTGGGAGCGAGAGGAATTGGATTAAACTATGGGACTACTTAACGCCTTTGGTGAGGAGACTTTGGTGGAAAACACTAGTACACACTCTGGAAGGAAGAAGGGGGGAGTTTTTTTGGTTTGTGGTTTCAAGCTGGAATCAGACGTGCAGTGCGCGCAGGCCTTCCTTTTTTTGAGGGGAGGGAGATGACAAAAGGCTCTTGCAGGCAGGCAAGGAATCATTCATCCATTCATGTCATTCTGGTTTGTTTACATCTCTCCTTTTTTTATATGGTTTTTGTTTTTTGGCCTCCTTTCATGGCTTGTTTTGTAGCTATTTAGAAATATGTGGTTATTTTTTTTTTTCAATTTCTCTCTGTGTGTGTTGTTGTGTGTGCGGCTTTTTGGATATTTTTTTTTCTTGTTCATACAGGGAAAGGGTCACTGTGACTCACCAAACATTTATGAAATGGAGACCCCAATAGTGTTGTACAAAAATGTCATTAAGCCCATCGTGGTTTGTCTTTTGGTTCATCACTCACTGTAATATGGCCCACATTGCACATGTATGCTACTACTACTACTTGTTCTAACACTTTCTATCACGGTATTTTATTTCTTGGCCAAGGGTTTGATAAACCTCCGGTTATTTGATAATAGAAGGTAATTACTTTAATAATCGAACTTCAAGATTAAAATATGGCGCATAAGGCGCAGCCGTTGATTTCTCTAAGTGTTAGCTTTGTCGGGGATATCCCAGCCATTGAATAAATTCTCGCCGCCCGGCCACCACAGCCCTACCGGTGGGGGCATATGCCGGCGGCATATTTCAGCAAAGGGCGAAAGAAAGAGAGCATGATCATGATGAGGTGGTCCATTCCATCCACAGTGTAGAAATTGGGTCTCTCGGCATCGCGAGCGCGCAAGAACACCACGACACAGTTCCAATCCTCGGACCAATCCAGGAATTTTCAGGCGAGGGCGAGCGATCCATCGGCGCTGGAGAATTGGTGCTGTGGAAGTGGTGGATGATTATCAAATTTGGGCAGTGTGTGATCCCTTCCACTAGCGCGATTAAACAATCGAGTATTCTAAGCTCGCGGCTGGGTGGATCGCACATGGAAGCGGTGTTTGTTTAGGCAGATCCATCGTGGGGGCGTGAGGAATTTGGCGGAATTCCGCCAGAATTGGGGAGGATTGAGATATGGCGGCGCCACGGACTCGGAGGAGGATCTATGGCACTGGTGGTAATGGTGGTCGGCTTGGCGCCGCTTCTCTTCTCGGCTAGAAAAAGGAAAGAGAGGCTCTAGCTAGCAGCTATGAGGAAGAAAAGAGGACGACGAGGACGAAGAACTGTTCTTGGAGAAATCCCTCCGTCGTCGTCAATCATCGCCGCCTGCTCCTCCTCGCTCTAGATCTTTTCTTTCTTTTTCCTGTTCTTCCATTTCTTTTTTTCTTTCCTTTTTTTTCTTCTCCTTGATCCATATGCACCACCACCACCACCACCACTATGGCATGCCCTCCTCCTCTCCCTCCGCCTCCGCCCAGCAGCAGCAGCAAGATCGACCATCGCCGTCGCCACCATCGCAGTTACCATTCGCGACGGCGGCGGCGACGACGATCGCCACGACGACGACGCAGCAGCTCCTGGGCTCGTCTAGATCGGGTGGTGGAGGAGGCGGAGCTGCGATTCCGCCGCTGCCCAACTCCTCCTCCACGTCCTCGCTCATGTTTAGCGGAGGAGGAGGAGGAGGACTCTCCTCCATTTCTTCCTCCGCCGCCGCTAGCGTTGCCGCCACCACCGCGACCGCCGGCGCCGCTACTGCGACCTCCTCCTCCGCCGCTGGCTACCACCTCGCCCCTCATATTCCCTCCTCCCACCACCACCACCACTTCACGCTCTCCAGGCCGCCGGATCACCACCACCACCACCACCTCGCTTCTTCTTCTCCTTCTCACTCTCCTTTCGCTTCTCCGCCAGCGCCACCACCACCAGCACCTAGCAACTCCGCCGCCGCTGCTGCTCCGCCCAATTCGATCCTCCTCCACCACCACCAGCTGAGCAAGCACCAGCAGCTGATGCAGCAGCTCGGCCTGGCGCGATCGTCCGGCGATCAGGAGCCGGATCCTGGCGGGGTTGCAGGAGGAGATGGAAATTCAGTAGCTCCTCCTCCACCACCACCGCCAGCGGCTCCGCCCAAGATCAATGTATCTCAGCCTGGCGGCGCTGCTCCTCCTGGACCTCCTTCTTTGGCGCAGCAAGACCATCAGCAAAAATTCGATGAGGAGGGCGGGGTGGACGACGGCGATCGCGGCGGGGGTGGTGGCGGGCAGCGGTGGCTCAAGGAGGAGACGAGCGCGCTCATCAAAATCCGCAACGATATGGATCGGAGCTTTCGAGACTCGCCGCTCAAGGGACCACTGTGGGCGGAGGTTTCTCGGTATGATCTCTTCCAATTCTCTTGCGCTTGATCGTTCCATCTCTTTCTTGGGCAATTCTCCACTCCTCTCTCTCTCTCTCTCTCTCTCTCTCCAATTCTCTCTAGAAGCACTCTCCCTCCCTCCGTGATCTTTGGGTGGTCTTCGTTCTTGTTCTTGGGTGGCGGCATTTTTGTTCCTGATTTCTTGGAGCCCTCCTGTCACGTCGGTGGGAATTTTGCTGTTTGGCTGCGTAAACTTTTTCCATCGCTCCTGTAGCTAGTAGCTGCAGTCACAAGTTTGCGTGAATCCGTGAATCCGAGGCGCCGATCCTTGGCAGGCCTGCTGAATTCTCCCTGTTCTTCGTGATCCCATTGAAATTGGAGGAGAATTCTAGCTGCATTCTCGAGTGGAGTGGTTGCTCGCTGGATTCTAGCTCGTTTTGTCGCAATTGAGATGTGAATTCTTTGTTCTTGTTCCAGGAAACTTGCAGAGCTGGGATACCAGAGGAGCTCCAAGAAATGCAAGGAGAAATTCGAGAACGTGTACAAGTACTATAAGAAATCCAAGGACGGGCGCGCCGGGCGGCAAGACGGTAAGAGCTACAGGTTCTTCGCCGACATGGAAGCTCTCTTTAGCGGCGGCGGCGGCGGCGCCGCTGGCGGCACTGCTGGCGGCGGCGGCGGAAGCCCAAGCAGCAACATCGTCTCGCCAATTCACTCCGCCAATCCCACCGTCACCGCCAACACCACCAGAGCAATGATCAACCCCTCCGGCCATCAGCACCACCACCAACAACACCACCACCATCCAATCCATACCGCCGGCGGTACGCTGCCAAACGCCGCCGGCGCCGCGGCGGCATTCCACGACCTGGGGGACACTTCGGAGACTTCCGACGACGTGGAGGAGGAGCAGGAGGATGAGCACGAGTATGAAGAGGGCACCGAGGAGAGCTCCCGTAAGCGCAAGCGGTACGCCGGCGGTACCGCACGGTGGCGCGTCCTCGAGGCCATGATGCGGCAGATGGCGGAGCGGCAGGAGGCCATGCAGCGGCGGTTCCTCGAGGCCATGGACAGGCGCGACGCGGAGCGCACCGCGCGGGACGATGCGTGGAAGCGGCAGGAGGCGTTGCGGGTGCGGCGCGAGCAGGAGCTGCGGTCCCAGGAGCAGGCCAGGATTGCGACGCGCGACTCGGCTCTGGTGGCGTTTCTCCACAAGGCGTGCAGCGGCGGCATACCGCCGCAGCAGACCCAGCAGCTGCTGGCGACTCTGGCGTCGATCGTGAGCAACAGTGGCGCCGCGGCCGCCGCAGCGGCTGATCGGACGGCGGAGATATCACCAGGCCAGCAGGTGGTGGAGGATCACCACCACCACCACCACCACCCCGACGGTACCGCGCAGCACGAGCTTGTGGCGGTGCGTGGAGAGTCCGGGCAGCACGGTGGCTTTGATCCAGCCAGCAAGAGGTGGCCAAAGCCCGAGGTCCTCGCGCTCATCAAGCTCCGGAGTAGCATCGAGGGGAAGTTCCAAGAGACCGGGCCCAAGGGACCGCTGTGGGAGGAGATCTCCTCCGGGATGTCGTGCATGGGATACAGCCGCAGCGCCAAGCGGTGCAAGGAGAAATGGGAGAACATCAACAAGTACTTCCGCAAGACCAAGGATAGCAGCAAGAAGCGGCCCGAGAATTCCAAGACGTGCCCGTATTTCCACCAGCTGGACGCGCTCTACCGCAAGGGGGTGCTGGGCGGTACGCGGCTGCTTACCGCGGGCGGTTCAGGCGGCGGCGCCGGGGCCGGGGGTGGCAAGCGGGACGAGCTGGTCAACTCGGGCCACAGTACGGCGGCGACTTCGGCTAGCGGCGGTGGCGCGGGGCTGATCGTCCAGGCGGCGGACATGCTGGCGATCGTCCCGACGGGAAGGGAGAGCAACGCGGCGGCGGCGGCGGCGGCGGCTCTGCCGGTGGTGGCTAGCCCAAGCGCAAACAATGGTGGGGAGAATTGCTTCTCCGGGCCCGAGGAGGAGGAAGAGGAGGAGGAGGATGATAACTCCAACTCCACGAGTGGCGGTGACAAGGAGCAGCATGGAAACAATGGGAATGGGAATGGCAAGCAGCAGCAGCAACAGCAGCAGCAGCAGCAGCAGCAGCATTCTTTGATGGGGTCGCTGCTCGATCCTTCCAATGGCCACCACTCTGGAACTTCGCTCCAGCAACAGCAGCACCAGCAGCATCCGACGCCACTGGCGATGAGCTTCGAGGCGGCCGACCTCTTCTCCTCAAGCAGCGGCATCCTGGGAGAGTTTGAGAGGCGCGAGCAAGCGGCACAGCAAAACGGGAGGCGATGATGAAAGCTCCGCCATCTTTCAAGGTTTGCAGCATAGCCAACTTCGGTTGGATCGTCTCCCTGGACTAACCAAGCTTTTGCAGGGCTTTCGACTCGACTTCTTTCTTTCGCGGCTCGATGCAAGCCTCGACGATTCATCTCTGCGCACACGCACAGCACAGGTTACAGTCGCCCAACAGTACAGGGGGGTTCTTTTCTTCGGTCACCAAGAGTGTACATTAGCTGTATCAGTACAGTCTAGTGGTGGTACTTTTAGTGTCGTCAGCAGCAGGCAACCAGGGTCCGTTTTCTCGGTTATCTCGGGGGAATAACAATAAGCCAGGCAAGGTGGTGGGAATTCAAACAGGTGTGGAACAAGCTTGGAATCTTTCAGGGGATGGATTGGTCGCGAGGAAACTATAAATATTTCATATACTATAGCTTGTAGAGAGGTACATAGGATCATCGGTTCGCTCCAGCAAGTTTGGGATTTTCAGCCAAGTTTGTGAATATGGGAGGATTCTTCGAATTCAGTCCGGTTTTTTGTGTGTGAAAGAAGCATCAGCAGCAGCAGCAGCAGCAGCAGCAGCGCAGCGGTAGAAGCTTTGTGTATAAAAAGTTTTTTCCTTTTTCCTAATCGGGGATTGGGGGGCCTCGTCGATTGATTCGATCATACGTTGTCTGCTGCTGGAGTTTCTCTCTTCGTCCAAGGAAAATAGGCTACGGTTTTTTATACTCCTTTTTCCTTTTTGTTTTGGTTTTTTCTTTCGGGATTTTTGTTTCTATACATCTAGCAGCAAGAGCCAGGCAGCAGGAAGGCAGGCAGGCATTTGCATTGCAAACAGCAGAGTGTTGTTTCTCTCGTCGCGCCGGAATTCTTTTCTCCAGTGGAATAAAACGAGTTCGTCAAAATTCCAAAAACTCCGCCACCTTTTTCCTTAAGCCTCAAGAAAACATGCGTTTCGTTAGGACGGCATGGAATCGTGGGATTCACTGGCGATGCCCGATCCGATCACTGCTCCTGTCCAGAGGCCACCGTGTGTGTGAGATCATCCTGGATGCGGACACCAGTCCATTCCCCACATTAAAGCTGTAGAAATACCAAAAAAGAAAACACAAACTATTTTCTAGATAAGCCCTCCTGCTTGTGCAGACAGAGACATGAAAGGTTTTGGGAGACAGACAACAGCAAAACTTCAGTCAATCCAAATCATCACTGATTCTTATGAGAACCTCTAATTGTTTTGGTGAAAGGAGGAGAGAACAACCCAGATTGCTCATGCTTGCTTGCTTGATGGTGGTTTGCATCACACTCGTATGATTTGTAGCTAATTGTTCCATCATGTGAAGAGTGGTGTTCATGCAACTACAACACAAGCTGCCCTGCCCTGCCAGCCAAAAGAAGGGAGGGGCCACTTCCACTCCCTAAATTTTTCCTTCTGTTGTATTTGTTTCTGACATATGAAATAAATGCACTGAGGTGGCAGTGCTGTCATTAATCCCAAGACCTGGCTTGTGTCAGGCAGGCAGGCCACTAACGTTGAAAAGAAAACAAAAAAGAGTCATATGCCAGTTTTGGCTATCAAATGTAGCCCTAGGCCACCTTTTAAACCTAAACCTTGTCATCAATCAAAACTAATCAATCAAGACATGACCTTTGCAGGGGCCCAAACAGTATCGTTAACTAGAATTTTCTGCCAATCTAAAGTTAAAACATGCACTGGTGAACATGCAATATCACTCCAAAGCTTTGGTTGGGACCAATCAACCAAGCCAGTGTAAAGAAGACCAAGGGGGCCCGCAAATGACACACAAGAGGCCCCACTCCCACTGGGCTCCCACTTAGCTTGTTGAGATTTTGCTACAAATGACAACTCAACACACACACTCAATAGAGGAGAAATTCAATGCTTGGGACCCGGAAACATTACCAAAAACTAAGTCCAAAACTAGCAAAGCAAAATTACATGTACACAAAAGGATCTCTTTTAAAAAAAGAGAGAGAAGAACTTCTGCAGTACTCACAACTCGCACCTCCCCGCTAGATCCCCGCAAAAATCCATTCGTACTTAAGCAGCTCATGACGGTAGCGATCACATTTCTTTCCGTAATCCAGCGTGCCAATCTCGTACGTTTTCTGTTTCGTGATCTTTTTTTTTTTTTCTCTCCCGGCCAGCCATGTGCATTTCCATGTGCAGGATGGACCCTCGACCATCTTTCACAGTTCTTCAGCCTTTCACAGTGCTCTCCCTCCCAATCATCGCGTCCATGCGGGTCCAGGCCCCAGTACAAAAGTAAGAAGAAAAAAAAAAAAAACTCTGCTAATCGTGCCTGTGCCTGTGGTGTCCCTGTTGGAGACTGTCAATTCCCTGCTTTGCTTGCTTTCCCTGTTTGCTTGCTTGCTTTCCTCTCCACCAGTGTCGTTAACTCGGCCTCAATCCCATTCAATCCAATCCCCTCGATCCAGTGTCGAGACAAGACCCCCAACTTCCGTACTAGAGATCTTCCAGCTCGCGCAACGAGTGAGTAATCACGCAACCCCCACTTGATACCTTTCTCGCGTCCTTATCATAAACCAGCTTGCAGCAGGCCCACTGGCTTGTTTCTCCTCTTCTCTTTATTTTTTTTCCTGTTCTCTCCTTTGTTTTGTTTCTGTCCGCCCTTCAACTCCGCTGGCGATCCCCCGAGATCTCAGTTCCATCTCTGTAATAGCATTCTCCCGACTTGTCTCATGCAAAGGCTGCCACGCCATGTCCAATCCAGGGGTGTCGTAAAGAGCCCCCACCTTCCGCAACTGGATCACCTGTCAGCCTGGCCGAAATAGTTCCCTGCTATCGTAATTATGATGTTGAGCATCTCAAGCTCTCGCTCTCCACGGAAGTTCCTCGAGGCCCTGATGAGAGCGCACTTCCTTAGTAGTTCCCGGACAGCGGCACTCGTGTCCAGGTCCAGGGGCTCGTCCACCACCGCCGAAAGAGCGTAGAGCCATAACGCACGCTCCTCCGCCAAGTTCTCCAGGTCGTCGAGCCACGAGATGTGATGGCGCAAGAGAGTTGCACGGGACACCTCGTCCATGCTGAGGAGAGTACTCAGAGACGGCAGCTGGCCGGTATGCTCTTGTTCGTAATCGCTAGTCTCCCCGTTATCGTTGTCCGAGCTTCTGCTTTCAGTCCCGAAGCAGTAAACTCTCCAGGCATCTCTGTCCCTGAAGTGCGGGAGTTTTTTCTGACAGCAGGCCTCACCGGAAGGAATGTCCGACAGCAGTTTCTAAAACAAGCAAACACTTTAGAAACATCAAAAAGGAAAAAGCGTGGATAGAAGTGTTTTTACCAGCCGTAGTTTGGAGAAGTCCGAAACAAACTCGGCTTCCCAGCTCCTTAATGGCAGTAACTCCGGGTCACAGTGTGCAATCGGAGGAATATCTGGCATGTACGCTGTTTGTTCGCAGCAAAGCTTACTTGCAGACACAGCCGCCACCTTAACCCGCTCACACCGTGCCTCCTCCCACCTTTCAGCAAGAATAGTTCCAAACAATGAGGAAAAACACGAGAAGAGAGACACTAGATGCGTACCTCACACGACGCAAAAACTCGAAGCCGTCTTGAGGAGGTCCCGAGTCGAAATCCGGCTCCCCTTCCACGTATAATGCTGGCTTTCGGAGGCCTTCACCTTCGCTGCTATCAGAGTAATACTCCACTTCCTCCAGGTTCACGTCATCCTCACTTTTCTCAGCTGCGGCAAAAGAAAAGTAAGTGAAAAACTAGACAGGGATAAAGATCATCGAGAACTTTACCTGATTGCAAGGTGTGGCTATACCTCCAATCGAAGTGCTCCTGATCGTTGTGAGTGAAGATACTATCAAGCTCCAAAGCTACATCGCCAAGTGCTTCGCAAATTTGCAGCCATTTCTCGCAAGATCGCTCGTCGGAGAACCTCAGCTTCAAGAGCTCGCCTCTCCGGTACCTGACCACCGGTCGAGAAGCGCAAGCGGGAGATAGAGCCGCCTTTGCACTGGCCAAGAAACCATTCACCTGCCTGGATTCGCTAGCCGCTACGTCACCTGGATCATCGCGAACGGTGCCGCCGCCGCCGCCAGAGAGGAGATCATCGCCTCCACGAGCTGTCTCGTCCATCGGAAAACCCTAAACCCTAAAAAATGCGCTACCTTAAGAAGAGAGCTTCCTGTGCCTGATCTTTAGCTTCCCGGATGGCTCCTCCCGGAAGAAGGAGACCTCGTCTCCACAGGCGAGATTGTAGCGCTTCACGTACTGGATCCATCCCTTGCTAAACACGTACGTCTTGCTGCTTCCCCAGTACTTGAAGTTGAATGCCCACTGCTCGGATTCGTGATCGTGGAAGAAGAGCACCGTCTCGTTGGGATCGGGGATGGAGGAATCCGGATTGCCGGGCTTGGCCGCCTCGCTGAGCTTGGGGAAACACTCGCGCGCGTGCCTCTTGTGGATGACCAGGCGATTGAGCTTGTTGACATCGCTGTTCGTCAGGAGCTTGGAGAACAGGAAGTTATCCGCGCTTCTTTCGTGATTAGACGCGCCGGGATCGCTGAAACTATTGTGCGCGATGGCCTCCTTCTTCCCGGGATCCCTTTCCTGGCTGAAAACACTGTGCGCGATCGACGTCCCGGAGCTCGTGGAGCTGCTCGCCTGTAGACTAGGAGGCGCTAGCAGCAGCCTCAAATCGATGCCGTCGCCGCCATCGCCCCGATCGCCTGCAATCTTTGCGCGCTTGCCGTGCGTAGCCGAGCGGGCAAAGAAATCGATTGCCCCGCTGCTGATGGTGCGATCGTCGTCGTCGTCGTCGCTGGAGGCGGCGCCGCGGGGCGGTTGAGAGCTGGAAGACGATTCACTCGTCATACCTCCGGGCAGCGAAATGACTAAATGGAATGAAGAAATGTATTTTTGCTCTTTAAGAAAAAGCCAGTGCAAAAAGCCATGTATGGCGGGGCATTCCTGGTGAATATTCCCGGGTCAAAGCTATTTGGGCAGATATTTTTAGAAAGTATCTTAAGTCTGATGTAGTTTGATACTTTGCTAGCCACCTTTTTCTTGAACCGGTTTGTCGGGAGGCCTGCGTTATGGCTTCATGAGCTAGTGACGAGCGTCGACAGTCACAGGTCTTGGCTTGCTTCTGGTGCTGTCCAAGGGAAAACCTCTGAAGAGCGTGTGGAATGTAGGCTGTGTGAGTATGAAGGGCATGCCTAAGTGACGACCAAATATTTGTGAAGTTTGCGGGCCTTGCAAAGTCTAGGGACGTGCCATACCACAGGTGAGTATGTTTACAGCACTGCTCAAGACCATCACGTCACGACCGTTGTGAGGTGTTGAGGGTGGAGAGGAACAATTGAACCTTCTTTCAAGCCTAGATTGCTCTTTTTCATGAGGATTTCAGCAAGGATTGATCACCATGGAGCATTATACTGTGTTTTGAATAGCTGTCTATCTTTGGTGAATGTGGTAGTTCTAAGCTCTCTCTCTCTCTCTCTTCATTCTCATTCAATCCCTTGCAAATACTAAGCCACTTGTGGCCAGTGAAACTAGCTAAAACAATTTTTTATTACAAATATATTAAATTGCAGTAAGTGGTAGTAAAAATGAGCTACAAATACTACAGGTAGTAATGTGGCACGTGTTAACAGTCATTGAGCATGGACACTCTGGTCTTGCTTGTGCCAAAGAAGAGTGATGACATGCTGGTAATGGGGACACTGGTAGAGGACATAGAATATGTCCTCCACCTGTTCCAAAGAGTAGTGTGTTGTTCTTATGTGATGTAAGATTTACAATATCTCCCTTGGGGCGCAGACTATACTTGAGCTCATGAGTTGAAGAGTTGAGCTCACGAGTTGAGCTCAATTTTCAATTGTAATTTAGTACAAACATTATAAATTTTAAAATCTTAAGGTTTTGGCAAACCTAATAATTTAATAACTCTCTATATATTATATAGATAAAAATGTTCTAAAGAACACTTTTTGTTCTAATAATTTAAATATTTACTACATGCAATGATAGGGACATTTGTTAAAACATAAAATAAAATGTTTGCAAAAAGAGTATTCTTGTCACTTCTTTAAATTTGTACTCTATGCTTTCTTTCTAGTAAATGTCAGGTTTTTCAGAATTAAAAAATTATTAAATTTGAAATAAGATTCTATGTAAAGCTATATAACCGTTTGAAAGGAAAAAAAACATAACCGTTGATGTAAGCTTATTGCATATAAAAGAAAGACTTGGTTCTTTGTAGAATACATTCTTGAGGGGTTTGTCATAACATACTGTCTAGAATTTATAGATCTTCATTCACACTCTCATTCGAAAAAAGAGAAATTAACACAAATGTCTATCGGTTCTAGTGTTGGTAATTTTAACTCTCACAATCTTTCTTCCCAGGGTTCAAGGGCTAGGAGATACAATAACTATCCCATTGCACAGCATAACCAAATCACACAAGAGAATGAAAGAGAGGATAGTGAGGATAGTGATTATGAATTGGAGATAAATGCAATGACAGAGGGTGCAACAAATTGGGTGAAAAAGAATGCCCTCTTACTTGTTTTAGAAAAGTGCAACTCTTCCACTTTCAAGAAGTGCCCCATATGTTTTCTAGCATCTGGTGGAAACAATGGCAATGATCAGTATGATGGTATATATGCTTTTGCAACACATTGCAACATCACGCACCTGAAAGACTACCATGAAATCTTTTTTGAGATGGTAAAGATAGAAATGGAGACACATGAGTACTATGGGCAGTATTGCAAAAAAAACACTCAGAAGTATATAAAATGAAAAGTGAAATGAAAAAGCACATTTTTATTAATTATATAAAGTTGATAGAGAATAAATATCGATAGTGTTGGAGAAATCTAATTAGCTCCAAAAGTTTTCTGCAACTTAGCAATAGTAAAGCTTGCTTGGTGTATATGAATATCCACTTTAGGATCCTGGTGCAAGATGTTAATGAAGATGTAGTACATATGCTTGCAAGGAGCATATGCCTTCCCATGTTCCTTGCACTTCGTAAAGTCTGGACATGTGCAAGAAGGAAAGTCGTGAATGGCAATTGTGTACTCTCCACCTTCTGTTTTGACTATGTACTCCTTTGCAAGCGTAGTGATGTACTTCGTGGAGAAAATCTCACACTCAAGTGTTTGAGCCAAGTTTATTTTACCTTGCTTCTCCTTGGAGATGGTACCAATAAATTTAACTGCCTTACCTTTTCGTGTTGGCCTCCTGTGCATCTCTGTAGGAATAGTCCTGCTTTTGTCACTCATATCTCCAACTCTCCTCTCAAGATTAAAACCAGATTTCTCAAGGTTTTCAATCTCATCCGAGGTGAGTGCGACCCTATTAGCAACCGGCCATTCTTTAGGTACTGCATCAAGTTTAGTCACTATAGTATCTTTAAGCTGCTTCGTATGGTTGGCGTCGGTGTTGCAACAATATAGCCAACACCATCTTGAAAATCCTGCTTGCTTTCATTCCCCATAGAAACATGGGGCTGGAATAGAAGCAGATTTTTCACCACGAATCTAGGCCCAACACTTGCCCCTCAGAAGCATCCCCACACACCTTACATTTGATTTTGCTGGCACGTGTCGGATTGCCTATTGCTTCGGCTCCACGCTATGGTAAGCAATTTCAACCTGTTGCGATGCACTCTCTTCATCAGCCACTTGAGGTGGCTCGGTCCGAGAGCGGTGTCTTGAAGCAGAATGGTACTTGACATTAGGCCTGTGAGAGCTTTTTGCTCCAAGGTCCGTACCAACATCTTCCCCAGCAAAGGAAAAACGACGCTTTGAGCGGACAGTCTTCATATCACCAATAGAAGCTCGGGGAGTGTACTCCATAGATATGCCACGGACCACTTCCTCAACTGCAGTTGCCACTGTTCGAGCGGGTGGAGTTAATTTTCTCTTCATCCTATCATGTAACATTTCAACAGAAGGCCTTGTTCCCATGTATCTTCCTTCCTCGAATGCTAGTGCTTTTAAAGATTGCTCTATAGCACGTATCAAATCTGATAGACAAGCTTCGTATAGACTCATCTTCCCTTTCCCTGCCTCAGAGGAACGCCAACTCCAATGCTTACTTTCAGAGAGATTCACAGTTGGGGTGTATGCGAGGTTCTTAAGTGGTTGATCTTAATGGAAAAGGCAATATTAAGAGGTAATAAAAGGAGAAGAAAAAATATAAACCAACCTGAAAAGAGTGATGTCCCTACTAGAACATCCTAATTTCCCACCATCCTAACCATGACTCAAGTTGTGGTAGGCAACTTACGTCTATATAGCCATCTTCATGCCACCACATTCGGATTTCATTTGTTTTTGCCTCATGCTCTTCTTCAGAAGGTGCAACCTGCCATTGTTTGCACAACTCCTTAAATATTGATTGAAACTCTGGCTTGATAAGATGGCAGTGTTGGTTTAGGCTTTGAGCCCAATGGAACTCACAAGTCCTCTCACGACCTTCCAATGGTTGACCATTCCCAAAAACTGCTCAGATACCATTCCAGTTTGCACCAGCCCCATCTGCCATGAAACCACGAAAGTTTGCAGGCTTACCAATCCGCTTTAGGACAATATCAGAGAGGGACTTCCAAAATATTTCCTGTGCTGTCTGGTCTTGTACTTTAAACTCTACTGTTGCAATTGTTAAGTTATAACGTAGCTTATGAAAACATAAATATTATAACAATTTCAATATAATGAGAATAAAAATTACCTTGGATCATACACATGAGCTCCCGTGGTTGTCCAACCGGATACATGCTCCATATGGTCAAAATGTACCTATGCATTTGCAAGGTCACTAGACCCAAACATGTCCATTCGGGAGACAAGATCTATGCCAGAGGTAGGGCTCATGGTAGACATTTTGAAGACAAAGGGGCGCTCTTGCTTATTCATAACTTGGTCTGGAAACAAACTTCCATGGATGAACTCGTATGGATAAGTCCGTTTCAATTCAAAGATGGAGTCAATTTTTGATTGCAACTTCCCCTCTCGAGATTCACACATCCAAGATTTTATCCTAAATAATATAATGTAAGAAAAAATTATTATTATAATGTATGAAAAATAACGAATGTACCTCCTTAGGCTAGTAGTAGG